GCCTCCTCCCCGAGCACGCCGCCCCCGCTCTAATTTGCCTCCCCTCCCAGGCTTGCGGCGCCAAACAGCTGTCTGGCGCCGCAAGCCTGGGAGGCGGGAGAAGTGGAGCGGCGACCGCGTGCTCAGGGAGGGGGCGTAGGAATGCTGTAAAAAAAAAATTGGGGTCACCGCTTTTTGGTGCCCCCAAATCTTGGCGCCCTAGGCAACCGCCTAGTTTGCCTTAATGGTAGCACCTGCCCTGACTAGAGTCACCCGCCACCACCCTTACAACAGCTGTGAGATTCATAGAGGAAAGAGTGTCACAGGCACTTGAACAAACTCGGAATCCTAGCAGGAGAGCGCTAGGGTGGGAATGAAATAGGCAACCTGCCGAGTAGAGGAAGGGCTCTGCTGTACTTACTGCAGTGATACAAGGCTGTTCACGCAAGGGAAGGGGAGGAAACCTCAGAACTCAGCAGCTGCGGTGCTGGTTCTGTTGGGCTAACAGGAGGGCAAGCTGGAGTCTATTTGTTCCCCCTGCATCAAGAGAGTTGTTTACTACAGTTTCCAAGTAAGCAACAAGGCCGCACCAGTGTCACTGAGGGCATCAGCATCTGTGTTAGTGGCAATAACGCACAACTTTCAGATCCCCCAGTGGAACAGGCAGGGCTGGCAGGCAGTGGGAGAGAAAAGACACTTCTGCCTGTATCCTAAGCGCATTCAATGTGAAACCAAGCGGATAATCACGGGAGACTAGTGCCATTTTTACAGGCATAGGGCATCTCTGGCCTCACTCTATTTCCTTCCACAGCTCACTGCAGTGCTACTGTTCCCATTTGCTCATCCAGCACACGCATTCAGTACACAGCTGGAAGAGGGGGAAAATGCGTGTGTCAGAGTTATTTTTGAAACCCTTTTTACACAGCAGTTTGCCAGAGAGAATGGCCTGTTCTGGTGTATTTTAAGCCCTGTGGTTATAGAAGCAGAAAACAATACAGGCGTTTCAGCTTATCTAGAGCCCATTTCCACCTATTATGTGAGAACGGGCGAGTACATGGCCCGAATTGCACTGCATCACTGTACCTTGGAGAGCCCATGAACAATACAAGAGAGGCAAGGATGGTCAGGCTGGCCCACCCCCCAGGCCAATCCCCTGCGAAATAGCCCTAGGACAATCTCTACCCAAGAGTCTGAACTACTAGTCAGAGTTCCTCCCCAGCCAGGAATATAGTCACCCTCATAGACCCACAAGGCCAGAAGGGACCATTGTGATCATCTCATCTGACTCCTTGTATAGCACCAGCCCGAGAACATCCCCCAAATAACTCCCAGAGCAGCTCTCTTAGAAAAACATCCAGCCCTGAATGAAAACTGGTCAGGGACAGAGAATCCACCCTTGGTGAGTTGGTCCCGTGGTTAACTACTCTCAGCATTAAACACGGACACCTTATCCGTCTGAAGTTGTCTAGCTTCAGTTTCAGACATTGAATAATGGGTTCTTCCATCTAGCAGAGAAAAGCACACCATGATCCAATTGTCTTCTCTCCTTGTAGGTACGGTAACCAAGTCACCCCTTAATCTTCTCTTGGGTAAGCGAAAGAGACTCAAAGAGCTCAGTCACCCAGGCTGGGTTTCTGATCCTTTAATCATTCCCATGGCACTTCTCTGAACCCTCTCCAATCCATTGACAGCCTTCTTGAATGGGGGGTACCAGTTCTCCACCCAGCAGGGGCCACACCCGTGCCAAAAACAGAGAGGAAATAACCTCGCTGCTGCTACTTGAGAGCCCCCTGCTTAGAGGTCCCAAGATTGCCTTAGGTCACCGAGTCACACTGGGAGCTCATCTTCAGCTGATTGTCCACCACAACCCCCACGTCTCTCACGTCCCTGCTTCCCAGGCTAGAGATCCCCATCCTGGGAGTAGGGCCTCCTCCTTTGCTCTTAGATGTATACATTTAGCCCTCTTAACACACCGAGGGCTCAGTTTACCAAGCCATCCAGCGAGCTCTGAAGCAGTGATCGGTCCTCTTCATTAGTTACCCCTCCCTCAGTTTTCAGGGCACATGCAAACTTTACCAGTGATAAAGTTAAGGGGGGGGGGGGGGAAAGATTGATTTCAGTGACTAAAGGCTACATCATGAGATGGCTTGGGAGGAAGGGCTGAAGAAAGGCTGTTCAGCCATGCTCTTGGGGGGTTAAGGCAGTGAGCTATTTGGCAGTGAGGCCATTCCCCTTCCTTATACATCTGGTCAGCACCTGGAGCTGAACTTCAAACAAGACCATTTCAGCCCAAGTCGTGAATGATGTCAGCAGTCTGACCAGATCGTCTCATTTACTAGACCCCAGGTTAATTTATAGCATCAGGCTAAAACTTTATTCAAAGTTCACCGCCGATAGTGACAGAGGGCAAGCCCAGTCCGCCAGCTTTTCACAGTAAGAAGCTGGGAGCATTAGACTGAGAACCATCGGACTAGACGTGTTACACTAGTTGCTGTGAGAAAGCGCCACACACACACACGGCAGGAGGTATTTTATGTCAAAGTTTTATTTGACAAAAATGTAACATTAAGTCTGCCAGAAAGAGCTGAAGAGCGACTTCCATCTGCTACTCTCTCAGCCTGGAGCGTGTACACGTGGGGGAGATAAGAATACAGACTGAGCAGGCATCTGCGGTGGTTTGGCTTACATTAAAAATGGAACAAACAATCAGAAGGACAGAAGGCTAGACCCTTTTGGTTTCACAGCTTTAGGGTTTTTCAGGCACAATTCACTGGAGCCTGCTCTCTTGAGAAGGGACGGCAGGTTTCCCTCAGCCCACCACCCTCCCAGCATTTCACACCCCAGCAGGAGAGGACATTTGTGCAAACAAACAAAGTCACCTGGTTTTTTTTTCCCCTACCCCTTTTTAAAATGAAGATTTTTTGAGTGACTTTGGTGCTCATTAAAGTGAAATAATCAACAGCCTAAACGGTGCACATGAGCACTCTGCCATGCAGCTCTAGTCCTCAAACCCCACCCCCCCACCAGCTGCTCCAGGATGTGCCAGCTCTGTTGACTGGTGCAGTCAGTCCCTATCGGAGAGGCTGAGGAAAGGGAACCTAGGAAGAGTGTGATCAGCCTTAAGCTCCCATCAATGGTTCTAGGTCTCTGAACGGGGCAATTCACTTACCCACAACATCCCCGCTCCCCTCCAGCCTGGCCGAATCTGTGGGCAGCCCCATTCCAGCAGAGGCCCAGTGCTCGCCCCCCCCACAAGTGAAGGCCCCTCGTTCCCAGCAGATTTGAGCACACAGTAGGATCCCGGTCAAGTGGCTGAGAAGTGAATACTCACACTTAGCGCTAGCCAACCCACAGCTTAACAGAGCCAGTGGCAAATATTGGGCTTTGAAGCTGCAGTCGTTTTACAGTCAGACCAGCAGGTTAAACAATAATAGTTAACCAGTGGAAATGTGTGCCTCAGAAATGAGGCCATCTGGGGCAGAGGACCAGGGCTGTTACTGCAGCTACCCGTGGGGATCCCTTACACCTACAAACACATGGACAGTAAGTTACTCTGAACGTACATGAGGACAATGCTTATAACTTTGCTCTGGGGCAACTGAACTCAGGGAAGTAGGCATTAAGTCCTGTGATACGGCCTTTCCTTAGCGCATCAGGGTTTCCTCACCCTGGGCTAGCACCTCTGCTTGGACGGATAAGCTACTGAGTCATGCAACTCGGTGTGGCAAGATCTAGATGTTGGGATTATTTTGGGAGGTGACCCAGAAGAAGGAGAGAGGTTTGGTTTAGGAGCAGGACCAGCTGCTTTGATTGGCACTCCAGTGCCCCCCAACCCCACAGTAATTCTTACAGCAAGCTGCCCTATGGACCTTCTAGGCTGAAGGCAAACTCTTGCAGCTGCTAAGATCTCAGAGGCAAATAGACTTCCCCCACTCCCTCCTTTAGAAGGAGAATCATTTACCTAGGCTGGGCCAGATTAACTCCACCAGTTAGGAATTAAAGATCTCGGCTAGAGAGATTTAGAGTTCAGGTTACAAAGCACAGCTCTGATCAGAGATGATGGAAACCATTGAGTAGGAAAGGGGACTCTCCCCTAGTTATAGTAAGGATATTTCCCCACATATTGCCCCAAAGACGCAGTAGCTGGTCCACCCAAGGCAAAGCACCTTGGATTTGAATGCAAGCCACACAATATCCCAGGCAGCTTTCCACTGAAGACGCTTCTGTAGCTGAGGAAGGGATTTCGTTTGGTTTCCATGTCTACACAGTTTAAAAAAAGAAAGCACCAGCTCTCCTGGGACTGCAGCTGGAGAAAGGCGAACGTGTTGGTATCATGTGACACCGGTTACTTAGGGTCTTTTGTACAGATGAAGGCACCAGAGAATAACCCTTCCCAAGGGAGCCTGAGGTACATTTCATCAGCAGAATGGTAGGAAGGGTCCTCGCGCCCTGTAAACTTCAGCCAGCCGGCTACAATGCAACATACGATTGAGCCACATGCACGTCCTATGGCACGGCCAGTCTGCCGAGAGGTGCACTCACCTGAAAGCACCCACACTTTAAATACACAGACACACAATGGACAGTGGAGAGCAGGAGGTGCCTGCCAGTCAAGCAAAGTGGGTCTCCAATAGGAGCTTTGGGGTTTGGTTTGGTTTTTAAAGCCTCTGTAGCAAACAGGTCCTATGGCCAAGATGCCCACGAACCAGAGTATCCCCTTGTTCAATGGCCAAGGGATACCCCCGAGACACAGCAGCCTGGTTTCAGTGCTCTCCTAGACGTACTGTTTCTTGGAAGCAGAGCTGCCGGGCCGGCTGGCCTGTCTCTCCTGCAGGGGCTGAGCTCCTGGGGCGTAGGACTCAGGGGAGGGCTTGTTGCCACTGCGCAGCGCCAGGTTCTCCTCGGTGTTGAAGTTGGCCCAGTTCTGCTCGCTCGACAGCTTGTTGTAGGCCAGGTAGGGAGGGGAGTGGCTCTCGCTCAGGGGGAGGTAGTGACACTGCTTGCTGTCTGGGAAGGAGTCTATGTCCCCAGCTGGGCTGGAAGAGGAAGAGGCCTCCCTCATGCTGCTGAGCAGGTTCTTGCAGCAGAGGTGGAAGAGCTCCAGGAGGTTGAGGCCCAGGGAGATCAGGCCCACCACCATCATGAAGATGATGAAGATGGTCTTCTCAGTGGGGCGGGAGACAAAGCAGTCCACCTTGTGGGGGCAGGGGGCCCTCTCGCACACGAAGATGGGCGGCATGAAGAAACCATACAGGTACCACTGGCCTAAGAGGAAACCGGCCTCGAAGATGCTCTTGCAGATGACACTGATGACGTAGGTCCACATCAGGGATCCGCGAATCTTGATGCGGCCGTCCTCCGCCACGGAGATCTTGGAGATCTTCTTCTGCACCACCGACAGAGCCTGCTCCACCTTCAAGTCTTTGATCTGTGCCGCCCGGAGCTCGCTCTCCCGCTGCTTCAGCTTCTCCTCCCGCCCCGAGAGGTAGATGACATGGCCCAGGTAGACCAAGGTAGGGGTGCTGACGAAGAGGAACTGCAGCACCCAGTAGCGGATGTGGGAGATGGGGAAGGCCTTGTCGTAGCACACGTTGACACAGCCCGGCTGCTTGGTGTTGCACAGGAAATCCGACTGCTCGTCCCCCCACACCGATTCCCCGGCCAGGCCCAGGATAAGGATCCTGAAGATGAACAGCACCGTCAACCAGATCTTCCCAATCACTGTTGAGTGCTCCTGGACCTGGTCCAGCAGCTTCTCCAGGAACCCCCAGTCCCCCATCTTCTAGGGGGTCTTGTGCTATTGAGGGCAGAGAGAGAACAAGAGTTAAGTCAACCTGACCGTTGGACCTTTCAGCCCTTGTTTCCACGAAAGCCAGAGATAGTAGACGCACGGGGCTTCCCAGGTTGCCACACAGCCTGGCAGCACTCCCCACCACCCTGCTCCATGGCTAGTGTTTCATTCGAGTAGGAACCCAGACAAGGGCCAGATGGACACCACAGCCTGCCCACCCCCATCCTGAGCCAGGACGCTGGGTTTTAGCCAGCTCAGCATGCGGTTCTTGGGTTCTACAGAGCTAAGCTGTGTGTGGTATCGCTTTGAGGACCAGGCAGCTCTGCAGGAGGGGAAGGACTCAGACGGGCAGCTCATGTTGGGTGCAAACTGGCTGGTGGGGTCAGGCTTAGGGTTGCCAGCTTTCTAATCGCACAAAACTGAACACCCCTTCCCTGAGGCCCCGCCCCTTTCCCAAGGCCCCGCCCCTTCTTGCTCCATCCCCCCTCCCTCCATTGCAGACTTTCACCAGGCTGGGGCAGGGAGTTGGGGTGCAGGAGCGGGGTGAGGGCTCCAGCTAGGGGTACAGGCTCTGGGGTGGGGCCAGGGATGAAGGGTTTGGGGTGCAGGAGGTGGCTCCAGGCTGGGGATTTGGGGGCATGCAGGCTCTGGGAGGGTTAGTTTGGATGCAGGAGGGGACTCTGGGCTGGGGCAGGAGTGCAGGATGGGGTTCGGGGTCCTGGCGGTGTTTACTGCAGCTCCCAGAAGCAGCAGCCACATCACTGCAGCCCCTAGGCATGTGGGCAGCCAGGGAAGCTCTGTACGCTGTCCTCATGCCCGCAGCTCCCATTGGTTGTGGTTCCTGCCTTAGCCCCACCCACTGGACTTTTAGCTGCCCGGTCGGCAGTGCTGACTGGAGCCACCAGACTGGGTGGTCTGGTCACAAACCGGACACCTGGCAACCCTAGGTGGGCTTCAGTGGAGCACAAGACATTTTGTCCCAGCTGAAGCCCGGGCAGGAGTTTGCGATGCCGGCCTAGTCATCCCATCAGAGCGTAGGGAGAGCTGCTCCTTCCTGGGAGCCCTGGGCTAGCAGTCAGACCCTAAAGCCGATCACTGGGGATTTAAGCAGGCTACCATCTCTGCCAAAATACTAGGGCTGCAGCAAGAAGTCAGCCTTCCCGAGACCCAGGCCCCCACCCCTTCCCCCCACACTGGGAGACCACAAATCTCCAGCAGAGAAAGCGACACTAGCCAGACAGCATTAGCCACTGAAGCAAGGGGTGGGGGGGAGGGGAGGGAAATGGGACACCCCCTCTTGCCTGGTGATTGCAGGGTGCAGATAAGCCTGGTTAGGTGACTAGCAAGTGCAGCTGTACCAAGGGTCCATCAGAAAGCAGCACCTCACAGCTGGGGGCACGCTACTTCTAGTTAAAGGTGCAGGACCCAGTTAAGGGCAGCCCTCAGCTTCCTGGCCATCTACCAGCACTGTCCCCTTCGCGCCGCGAAGCGTGGGTGCCCCTGGATCTTAGGGGCTTAGCACAGCCTCTCTCCCCCCAGCCCTTGGCAACAGCTCCAGAGAAAGGGCGTCCAGCCGAGAAGCCACCGAGGCAGGACGTAGACTGTAGCTGTCCCATGGCTTCTTGTAAGAGCTGGGTTAGTGCCACAGGGCGGGTTAGTGCCAAGGGATCCAGGTGCCCAATGGGCCATCTGTCCCTGAGACAGGGCATAGGGCAGCAGCCAGCACCTGGGTGCATGAGGTTAGAGACGGACCAGTCGAGCTGGAGGCTGAGCACAGACAGCTATGCCACCACTGTGAGCCCCTCTTCCAACAGCCTTACGGAGGAGCTTGTTAGAGACACAAAAGCACTGGGGCTTAAGCAGCCCTCTTGGACAAGAGCCCAGCCTCCAGGCAGCACCCCTGCCCCCCCCCCCCAGGGAGAAAGTGTGTGTGTGTGGGGGGGGGGAAGAGCAGGATGAGAAAGCTCCAGGTGCTCTATCCTTCTCCCCAGGGTCACAGCAGCACACAAAGCAGAGCCCCCAACACACTTTACCACTTTCTTACCCTTCGGGGAGCAGAGTTTAGTTACTCAGAGCCCCGCTCAGCAGAAACAGACCCTGATGTTAATCCCCCAGGAGAGACCAGGCATTTCAGCAGCAATTAGCTGCCCAAAGGGGAGATTCACTCACTCAATTCCTTCCCAGGGTCTCACTCAGTCACTTTCCAAGGGCACTTCAGAGCTCAGCACAGCAGCCACCCCCTCGGGTCAGGGGCTCCTGCAGCACCACACCCCACCCTAGAAAGCTCATTTGTAAGGAACACCTATCAATTAACCAATCAAGGGGTCTGTTGGCTCTGTAAAGCAAGGACTCACAGTGGGGGTGGGTTGATGGGGCCAGATGCAGTCATGAAGGGGTTAAACTGAGTCAGCCTGGTGCAAAGCCAAGGGCTAAGGCATGCAGCACCTGGGCTCCCAGGTGCATGCAGTGGGCTAGGACACAGACCCCCTTTGCATTCCCCCATCCCCTTCCCTGCAGCAACCGTCTGGTTTGCAGCATCTGTGCTGAGCCCCTGTCCCCAGTCCCAGCCCCTTGGCCAGCCCAGCCATGCCCCAGAGCAGAGGGGCTGCCCAGCCATCCCTGACCACGCCAGCACCATTGGCTTGCTTGGGAGAGGGACCCAGCAGCCGGCTGGAGTCTGGTGTTTACTCACCGAAGCCAGGCACAGCTGTGCGACCTCAGCCCCAGCTCCCTGCTGGCCCAGGTGGGGCAAGGGGGTTACAACCTGTGGCTCTTTGCACCAGAGGCTGCTGCTCCCACCAAATCCCTGAGACTGTTGGAGAGAAGGAGGAAACTGACCCTGGGTAGAGTTACACAGGGGGGCGGGGGGAGGAGCCGCAGGAAACTGGGGGTTGGTAAAATTGATAGTTCGGCTGCAGAGCCCTCCTTTAAAGGGGCAGCTGCTTTGGCAGGTGTGCGGCTGCGGCTGGGGTGTGGGGGGGTGACTTTATTCTTTTCCTGGCTGCCGGTTCCATGTGAAATCGCAGCAATATTGGGGGAAGAGCACAACAGCGGGAGTGGGGAGCGGCCGCGGGGACGGGGGGAGAGCGGCCCTGCTGGGCTCCCTCCTCTTTCACAGGGAGTCGCAGACGAGGACGGGGCAGCCTGGAAATAGGAAATGGAGGAAAACAAGCCAGACAAGGCTGAAATAATAATACTATCAGGCCAGGTCAGGGCCTCCCCCGCGGAGCCAAAACCAACACGGGGAAGATCCCGGGCCAGGGGCCTGAGCTGTGAGAGTCCGGTGACAACCAGGCCTCTAGGGGGGCATCGCCCCCGAGAAAGCTCCGTTTTCGGGGCCGTCTTCCCCCGAAGCCAGGGAAGAACTCTGGCATTTGAACCAAAGCGCCAGTGCACAAGTTACTTAGGTTGGGGGCTACGGGAGCTGGAATTCAATGGGAGCTGGGAGCCTACGAAGTGCCCCCGCTCAGATGCTTTGCCAAGGGTCCGTCTCCCCTCGTCTAACTCCCCCTGGCCCAGTGAGCTCACATGGGGCTCTGCTTGGGGGGTTGAGCGGCAGGATACGTGCCTAGCAGGGGGGTGAAGTTGAACAGCTCTTTCCAGGCTGCTGCTGGGGCTAGCCGACACACACAAGGGTTTGGGACGCTCTGAGTTCAGGAGGGGCCCACGCCACCATAAAGGGCCTGATCCTTCCACCCTCGTCCTCACGGAGCAGCACTTACCTGGGAAGCCCCATTGGTTTCGGCAGGGACTAGTCATCTGGCTGAGGGCTGTGCAACGTGCAGACTCGATCGCACTCTCAGGGAGGTAGGGGAGGAGGTGACCGGCTCCAAGCGAAGGGCTGAGCGAGTTGAGAGTTCCAGGCGGAGGGGATGGAGGGGCGGCTGCTGCCGAAAGGGAGGGGGGCACTTGTGGGTTCCATGGCAAGGGGGCACGCGATTATTGTAGGGGAACTGGCCCAGAGGTGGCTAGTGAAGGAAGACGGGGCTGAGGGCCAGGGGTACAGGGTTATGACACCCTGCTAGGCTGACCATGAGCAGAGGTGGTAAAGCCCTGAACACACTAGGTGCCCTGGGGTTTCAAAACAGGTTAATTAAAACCGGGTTGATAACTCCTTTGAGAATGAGCCGTAGGATTTCACTAATCTAGACAGGGCTGTTCTCTGCCGCACTCCAAATCTCTCTCATGCACACACGTGTGCGCGCACACACACACACACACGCACCCCTCGTGGGGCAGCATTCTACACCCACGTTACACTCTTTGCCCGGGGGTACATGACAGCACACAGAGTGAGGCGAGGCACAGGCAAGCCCATAATCTCGCTCTCTGGCTATAACCTGCCCTGCACACACATTTGGTACCCGTGTAACGTGTTGGTTTAGGGGGGTGATTTTGCCCCCCCAGTACAATTGTATTGGTACAGACCCTAGTTCTGTGGACAGCTGTACCAGTATAAAGGTGCTTCCACCAGTATATTCCCCGTCCCCTCTGGCCCAGCTGACCTGCTCCTGAACTCAGAGCGTCCCAAACCCTTGCGTGTGTCGGCCAGCCCCAGCAGCAGCCCGGATCACCCCCCGGCTAGGCACGTATCCTGCAAGCTCAGCCCCCCCCAGCAGAGCCCCATGTGAGCTCACTGGGCCAGGGCCTTACCCCTTAGGGCAAGGGGGAGCTAGACGAGGGGAGACGGACCCTTGGCAAACTGCCCAGGCACTTTGCACATAAGCGAGCAGCACCACCCTTTGGCCAGAAGGAGAAAGGAACGAGTAAGAAGAATACTCTACACTGGATCATGCAGGGTTTTAAAAGAATGAAAAGACTTTTCCCCTCTAATTTATTCTCATCCACCATCCTTCCCCCTCTCCTTGCTCTCTGCCCTCCCCCAAACAGGGGGGATACTTTAGGGCTGCTATTTTCCAACCTGGGTCCCTAAAGTTCAGCTCCTAAATCCATATTTAGGCTACTAGATGAAGGTGGCCTTATTCCCAGAGGTACAAGAGGCCACAGCTCCCCGGCTCAGCAGTGGTGGTGGTGAGCTCCTTTAGGCGATGTGGCTACTCTCAGCAATTTTTCACTAGCCAGGTGCCTCTGTTTTCCTGCACTGCTTCTTGAACTCCCTGGTTGGATTCTGAGAGGAAAGACACTGAGTTCTCAGGCTTGTCTCCAAGGTATGGGCCCTGCGGGCAGAGGTCTGAAATGTGGGTGATTTCCAGAAGATTAGGTTCAAAGCATCTCTCCCTATAAGGTACTTATCCAGCCCCACTCACTGTAGTCTCTGAGCACTTCACGGTCTGTAATGTGTTTATCCTCACAATGCCCCGTGAGGTAAGGAAGTACTGTTATCCCCATTGTATAGATGGGGAAACTGAGGCACAAAGTGACCCAAGATCATGCAGGGAGTCTGTGGCAGGGAAGGGAAATGCACCCAGGCCAACACCTTAACGACTGGGCCATTCCCCCTCGCCCCACCGAGATCTAGGTTTATTTCCATTTCCAACAGCGCCTGTGTCCCAGTGCGTCTTAGGTTCCTTAGACGCTTTTGAAAATGTCCCCCAGGATCTCTCTGGGCCTCAGTTCCCATCTGTACAATGGACGTGACAGCCCTGGCCTGCCTCGCTGGGGTGGTTTCAAAGATTAGGAGGTGCTCAGATACCAGGGCCACGGGGGCCACGTAGCTATGTGAGACAGATGTGGCAATTAGGCAGGCTATTGGTCCGGTTTTAAGCCGACCGATCCTACTTTTCTAAAGTTTCTCCCCGTCTGGTACTGAGACAAACCCAGACGTGGTTTTGTCCCGTATCGGATGAGGAAGGAGGGGGCACCATTTTGAAGAGCGTGCAAGGTCATGCCAGCGGGGCAGGGCGGTGTGCTCCTCAAAATGGCATCCCCCGGAGCGTGATCTTGCCCGCCATTCTGGGGACGAGGGGCGTGGCAATGTCTCACGGTGCGCCCGCCCACCTCCAGGGTTTTCCAATAAGACCTTTCCTCCGGGGCTGGAGGTCTCTGGATGGCCTCTCTAGTACATCTGCCAGAATGTCTGAGCCATGACAATGCAGTCTAGCTTTTCTAGGGCTGCTGGCATCTCCCAGAGGCCAGAGGGGATAGAATGACCGAGACCAGTGCCGCTCAAAGCAGGGAATTTGTATGCAGCTAAAGTCCAAGGAGTCTGGGATTTCTCTCCCTCCTTGTCTTAGAACCTGAGCCAAAGCCCAGGGGAGTTTTCCCATTGACTTCAGTGGGCGTTGGATCAGCCCCTGAAAGCAGGGAGAGGTGCTACAGGTGTGGCCAGGTAGAAAGGAATTTCTGAACTGCCGGTACATTTGGGAGCCACCTCCCACTGACCTCAGCAGAGTGTTAGCGCCTGGAATGGTGCCATGAAAGGGTTAACAGAAAAGCCTCCTGGGACATGGTGCCCAGCAGGGCGAGTGGGAGTTTGAAGCCCCAGCTGGAGTGAGTGTTGACAGGCCCTTTACATAGAGCCGGGGCTGTTTAAGAATAGATTAAATGGAAATCATCCCTATTTATTGTAATATTTATCAAGGGTTAGTGAATAATTGATGCCGATCCCTTCTTGATTTCCTGGGGGGGATAGAGCCTGGTTATATTGAATTAAAGTTTAACGACAGCGGCGAAGCGGCAGGCTGCAAAGTGGGCAGCGCACGTCCCAGCAACGGGCCTGAGCTGACGGAACGCCAGGGCTGAGCATCAGTGGGCGGGGGCAAGGCCACACCTAGGGCCCCACTTCGTGGTTCGGGCCCAACTCTGCTATGGGCTGAGCCAGTCCCTTAAAGCCAAACTTGTTGGCTTGGGCTCATGCATCCATCCATCCCCAGCTGCGCCTCCATCTATCTCTGCACTTACTGTTCTCTCTCTCCCTCTGTCCCATCCCTACGTATCTCAGCCATCCATCTCTTCACTAACCAGAGGCAGAAGAGAGTTTTCCTTTCACCACGTCAAAGACGATCCCCTCTCTTCTCCAGATTTGGTAGCGATTCTGCACGGCAATGCTCCTAACCACACCTGACCACAGTTGCACTGATCCTCTTCAAGCTGCAAGGGGGTAAAGCGATACTGTGCTGGTGACCCCCTTTGGTCTCCATTTCAATCTTGGGGCACTTTGTGTTTAGCAAACTTAAATCCAGGCCGATGTCCAGGGGCAATCTGGAGCAGGGATAGCGTGGTCCAGTGGTCAGGACCTCAGGAAGCCTGGGTTCTCTTCCTGACTTTGCCACTGACTTGTTGGGTGATCTTGTGCAAGTTGCTTCCCCGCTCCATGCCTCAGTTTCCCATTTCACCCTTTGTCTATTTAGACTGTGAGCTCTTTGGGACAGGGACTATCTTTTATGGTGTGTACGTACAGTCCCTAGCACAATAAGCCCCTAATAATGGGAGCAACATATCCTAAATGAGATACAGTGGTCCTGTGCTGAAATCGGCAAGTGGTCCCCAGCAGAGGCCATGCCCCACCGTATACATCCCTCAGAGAAAGCAGGCATGTACCTATAGATAAACAATATAGCGTTTATTTGGCCATTCCATTATCTGGTGGATTACACAAATCAAATGTTTCTTTGGCCGCCGGGGGTGGGACACGCGTCCCCCCAGCCCAGCAGGACAGCTGTAAAATACTAAATACTAGTCGTGTTGCTGTGAAGTGCTTTTCGGAGCATCCCAGACAGCAGGAGTGGGGGAGGGGCACATGAACGAAGTTGACTGGGTTTGACAAATCAAAACCCGCCGGGATGGATCCTCCGCTGGCGGAAACCGGCTATGCCGGTTCATACCAGCTTCGGA